CATTTCTTGGAACAAAAAATTTGTTTAAATATCTGCCTGTACTGCGCGACTTCCCTGCAACGTGTGTGTGAGCGTTCACCTAATGCCGCAGTATCGGGCAGTTCGAGCAGTCAGGCTTTTCACTGATAACTCTGAAAATGGTGTTGGCGTCCAAAAGGGATGCTATTCGCTTGCGCATTGCGGCGTGAAACCAGTCAGTGTGCGCCAACGCAAACATGCGATGATGAGAACATGATGCACTGCAGTAACCTGGAAGCCCTAACAACATCCTCATAACATTATTATATTGTACTCGGAGAGTGTTGATAGCCTCTCGCGTGTAGTTGACCCAAAGATTGCACGTATAAAGTGTTTGGCAGTACGCTTTAAACAGTGTTATTTTCACGCCTGGACTGCTACGTGCAAATCTGCGAGCCAACTGTTGCAGCGGACTTCAATCGCCCTCCTTTCCCTTTCAATATCCTTGTCATTTTTCAAGTCCTCGGTAACCACGTGACCGAGATACTTAAAGGATGGCACCCTTACAAGTTCGCCACCGTTAAGCCTAACAGGCGGTATATACATCACCTTACATCCTAGCTTTACAAACCATCAACTCACTTTTCCTAACATTATACAAGAGGCCATAGGATTTCGCATACTCCTTGCATATCGAGATCAGCCTTCTTAGAGCAGTAACTGACAGACTTAGCAACACCATGTCTTCCGCATAACTGATACTATTTACACAGTGACCATCATATTTAACACTCTCTTTTTCGTCGGGGGTAAAAATACTGCGGTTTCCAGCCCTTTAGCTAATAGATACCTACATTTATCCTTGATTAAGAATCAAAATGTAAATCCGTTATCACCCCTGAAGACTTCAATTAAATTCCTCGTTGAAATGGGGTATTAAGTTCTCGTTACTCACCAACAGAACCACCTTTGGATATTCGACGTGGAAAGTCCCTTTTTCATTCAAAAAAATTCCTTAAAGCTTAATATTTGAATCTGTGACATTTTCTGTTACATATCCGGTTCTTTCTTGCATCTAATTAATTTATCCTCATCTGTCAACATCTTATTTGTAATTTAATTTGTTGTTAATTTAATTGTATACTTATGTATACAATTAAATTAACAACTCCCTCGTAACCATCCTTGTGTGTATCATTCGTTGTATAATAATATTGTCTGAAAGAGTTTGCTTCCGGGGAGGTAAGACCACCTATTGTGCCTTATATATATACAAAAAAAAAATAACATTCTATTTTAAAACCGAGTACTGAAAAAGAGAAGGTCAAAAGAAAAAGGCAAAACAAAACTATACTCAGCGCATATTTCACCGAGTTTTTGGAGACCAATTGACCGATTTTAACGATTATTCTTTAATACAATTGGTTTAACTTCAATGGTAGTGTCATTATTTTTAAGTATGAATTTTTATTCCAAGGGTGAAAAAATATCGCATGGGCTTTTTAATGTAACTATTTAGATGACATTCTAGTTGTGTCATATTGAGCTTGTAATAATCCTTAGTCCACTCAAATGGGTTAGATTAAAAAAATTAACCGACTTTAAAAACAAAAAAAGTAAAATATTTTCCACATTATAGCTTCCGAAGTCGGGGCCATACTCCGCAGAAGGCTCATGTACAGTAGTGATGTTTAACGGAATAATAAAGGATAAGATAAGTGGCGTTCTACAGCGATGATATATGGAACTGAAATGTGGTCCTTGCCTATTAGGCATTAGAAGAACGTTTAAATCACTCTTCGCTATTATTCATATCAAATCAAATCAAAAAATTTATTTGTAAAGCATGGGTAAAAAGTTACAAACATGGTGGAAAAGGTATGATAAGTAACACTTGATGTTTCGCCTTAAAAGGCATACGAATATTTGGTTATCATTATCACCTGGCAATATGAAAATTAATTTCTATTGAAAAAAACAATATCGATTATAATTAGTATGTTCAGAAATTATATAAATTATTATCTTAATTATGATTTACATAATTCTTAATTAACATAAAGATAAAAATATAATAAATAAATCGGACATTAATTATTGTACCATTCATTTTATCTCCAAAATATTCGTTGATAGAGATGGTATGCTTTATTTATTAAAAAAAACCCGAAAGCAATTTAATGATTTCTTAAATTTACGTGAACACTATACATTGATTAAAACTACTTTTACGGATTTTATCGCGTTTTATTTATTTTATTTTTAATACCCGACGTTTCGGGTGCTTTCCAGCAGTCCCCCGTGACCATGGGTGCTGGAAAGCACCCGAAACGTCGGGTATTAAAAATAAAATAAATAAAACGTGATAAAATCCGTAAAAGTAGTTTTAACCGAAAGCAATTTATTAGCCTGAAAACATGTTCAAGTTGGATGTGGTTTTATATAAGAGAGGGCGAACGAGCCTGCCGCTCGCCGGATGGTAAGTGACTACCACTATCCATGTAAAACTGCAACACCATGGCAATTGCATGTAAACGGCATCCTCACATGTATACAGGGTTATTATGTAAAAACCGGCCAAATTTGCAGAGAAGGTTCAAAATAAGTAATATAACTGCAACGTAGCTCTACCACGTAAATGTATATATATAATAACAATATAAATTGTGAATCTCATTCGGACATCCTCAATCGGACAAGTCGTTCAGAAAGTAAACGAAACATAGACGCACCAACTATTATAAAATCACATAATTAAAATACAGTGATGTGTACAATTACACCTTTAGAGGCCATTTCAGGAACAGGACCCTCCACCTCCCAAGGCCTACCTAACTCACGGTTATACGGGCCGAATCTCGAGAGATGCACGCGGTACTTGCTCTGGGCTCATTCCCGCGTGCACTTTCTTGACTCTCTACAAGTTATTTAATCTGTTCCTGTCCCTTGTATTCCACTCTCCCCTTCTGGGCTGGACGAACACACCACGCCTTCGGTTCCGGGCAGAACGCTCCTTTGCCTCTCCATGGCTGTTCTTCTCGCATGCCATCCATGCGCAAGCTCCCGCAGCCGGCCAAAGCTGTCCTTACCGTCCACAAGGTCCAGGTAGTAAACCGGACGCACACTTATGCGTACTATTCCGTGCAATTCATTTTATTCATACGTTTTTATAAAACAAAAATAATGTTCTCTAGACGGAATTAGGGTCACAGATCACGGCGGCCATTGTCATTGACGACTTGCCGTTCTGTGTGGAGCAGGGTTATAATGCACGAGCGTATGCGCAGCACAGGTGCACCTCTTAATACAGACAATCCTCACTCTCATAGCCCGATAGGATGGCAATTCGAGGCGGCCAGAAATAGGTCAAGTGCAGAACGCATGGTATTACGTATTTTGCGATGCGTGGGGATGAAATACTGCCAACTTCCTGACTGCGCGCTGCTGCTGAGAATTAGTTGATAGAAAACCCCAATAACAGATTTTTCGATCGACGAGGGATTTGAAACCAGGACCGCATGGTCGTCAGTCACGCCTACGTCCACAAGACCAACGAGACTGTAAAAGAAAAAGTCCTGACGTACCGGGGTCGCCCAACAGGGAACACACCAAGTAATTAACAAAAAATTAAACTACACTATATATTATTGATTGATTATGGTCTTGTTCCTGAAATGGCCTCTAAAGGTGTAATTGTACACATCACTGTATTTTAATTATGTGATTTTATAATAGTTGGTGCTTCTATGTTTCGTTTATTTTCTGAACGACTTGTCCGATTGAGGATAATATATTCACAAAATATATTATGTTATTATTATTGTGTATTTATGGGGATTTCACCACTAAAACACAATTTGCACTCATACCTTTTTATTTATTGATAACTGTCAGATGTTAGTTTTTTTCATAAGCCTACAATATGGCTTTCATACTCTACAATTATATATATATACACTACTACATTATTACGTGGTAGAGTCACGCTGCAGCTATTTTATAGTTGTAGTACGAGTGGGTCGGTTCGACCGGGGAAGCACCACGCTCTCACAGAATAACAAAGTAAAAAGCAGCTTAATACTGCTGTGTTTCGTATGGTGAGTGTAGATACCCTTTTTGACTGGAAACCAGATATTCCATCTTAATCGAGGATAAACGTAAATGTCTATGGGCCACAGCATCCATCTTAATTTACCATCTAACTTACTATCAGGTGGACTGTGTGCTCATTTGTCACACTTATTATAAAAAAAATCACAATATAATATGGTAGGTTAGTGCCATATACGATAGGTAGCGGTAGTTGAACATTTTTAAATTTTAATTTGTAAGAATTCAGGAAATAAATTCATCGCGCAGCCTACCGGAAAGGGTAGAACAATGTGTGCCGAGCCGGATAGTTATATTATACATAATAATAACTTTAGTATTTACCATATAGTTTTTAAATACTCTACACAAGTCTCCTTACTTTATTTTATCGATTAGAAAATGAATTATAACGGCAAGCATGACGTCGACTTCTGATGCAAAGCCATCCTGCGCCGGCGCCTTACAATATGTTCATCCTTGTCCTTAAACTTGGAATCTTGACAGTCGTAGACGTTGCCGCCGGCTATAACGTTGCCTCTTACGAAACACGGCCAACAACGTGATTTTATATATCGCATTTATTTAAATAGTGGTTAAATATTGCAAAGATAAAAAATAAAATAACACCGAATATTTTCAATAATTTTTAAATATCGAATAACAATATTGTTTTAAATTTGTGAGTTGTTAGTTTCATATTTTAAAGTTCGGAAAAGAATATCGTTTGACACTTCTGTTGTTTTATAAAAATATATATATGTATAACAGAAAACAGTATTTACTAAAGGATTCTATCAGAAAAAACATATGATAGAAAGTGTAGAGATAGTTTAGTAGTGGTAAACTAACTAGTTTCATTTAGTAGAACGATAATTGCATGTTTACATGTATTAAGTGCTTTGTAATTGGTGATAAAATCTAATGAAGAAAGTTTAATGAAGTAGAATAAATTGCAGATTTCGTAAGTATTTAATTATTGCCATTTATTTACTCTAATTATAATCATATTGTGTATGTGTATATTATTTAATTTTTGTAATCTCTGTGTATATCCTCTATGATCTATAGCAACTTCAACTATACCGATTACGTTGGTATATATTAAAGTCGGAATAAAGGAATTATTGCGCACACATTTGCACAATAAAATAAAATGATGTGTCTTACCTAGTTTGAAGAGCAGTTGCCGCCCTCCCTCAATTGCGTGCACTAATCCCGTCACCACTACTGCCAATACTACTACACTAGGAAAGTCACACAATTGACGATAATACAAATTATATCATCGTCGATGGTGTGTCTTTCCTATAATATAATGTATAAAATATAATATAATAATAATAATATATAAATATAATATAATACAATGGATTTCCGCAAAGTAACGCCTGATTCCATTAATTACGTTGCTATTTGTCGGTGGGCACTAAACTTGACGACCTCGTTAGTCGTTGGTCCCGGGTTCGAACCTGGGTCGGGCCAAAATTAGTTATAAGGTTTTACTATCAAAAAACTCACTACCAGCCTAGAGCCAAAAAGTTAACGGTTTTTCTTCCCCGTGCCTCTAAAATAAAGTGAAGTCGATGGTCCTACGCTTGATCTATCTTCGGTCGTGGAAATCTCTTTCCGGGGGTGACAGATCGCCATACCATCGGGCTATGAGAGTGAGGTAAAAGAGAGTGGACCTGATTGCACACACACTTTTGCACTATAATCCTAAGAAATTAAATTAAAAACTACTTAGGATTAAGGTGACCCCACAGAAGAGGCTGTTCCTTAGACCGCTACTAAATGAAAATTTCAAAACAAAGTTAAATAGGTATTTATAGTAAAGTAAAATTAGTTACAGCCTATAACTACTATACCTAATATATGTGGTAAGAGCCCTCCTTTGATTTCTAAAAGCGTTTTGAAGTATCAGTCACGCTCTATGCCTGTTAGCGTGCTGAATATTTTTTTTTTTGTTTTTTAGATATGCACCTTATCCCACGGTATTTTACTTTATCGCCTAGCATGTGGTAAATCAGCACTTAAAATTGTCATTTTAGGCAATACAACGGAACTAGGGTTGCTCGCATACTGTGTTTATGGCGAGCACTTTGCCCGGATCGACCGAGTACGGACAACGATCCCAGAAAACACCGACATAAATTAACAGCACAATGTTGCCGTGTTTCGGAGTATTACGATCAAACCGGTGATCCTTTTAGCTGGTAAAATGACCTTCCGTTTTAGTTCTGAGTTGTGACTATGCATCTTATTATATAGTCTCTATCAGCATCCACTTACCGTTCAGTGGACTGAGTGCCTGTTTGTTGTTCTTAGTTGTATAACAAGCTTAATGGTTAAAAAAGTAATTATAAAAACTCGACTGCGTTTAAAAGTTTACTGTAAAGAAACCTTCCCCAGGTTTTTAAAATGCAAGTTGAAGATGAAATATATAAATATTTTATAAAATATAGCAGACAGGAGGGATTTCTACAATTAAAACGGATCTAACCACATCTCATATGTTAAAATCCATCGAGCCGTTTAGGCATTCTCTCGAAAAGCATTACCCTACGTCTGGGGCAGTCGGTTATAAAAGATACACAGTCAAGCCTGGATAAGCGAGAGTTCAAGGGAGCACAATCCCATTCTCGCTTATAGAGATTTCTCACTAACTAGAGTTTCTCGCTAATGCAGGTACATGGGTAGCGTTCCTCTCTTATAGAGGTACGCAGCACTAACAAGTCACAGCAAGTACGAATGTAGTAAATATGTAATATGATAAAATTAGGTGAATAATATGCACAACATATATTATCATCATCATCATCATTACAGCCCTTCACAAGTCCACTGCTGAACATAGGCCTCCCCCAAGTAATGCCACAAAGCACGGTCCTGAGCCACCTGCATCCATTGACTTCCTGCATGTCTTACCAGGTCGTCACTCCATCTAGTGGGTGGTCGCCCTACAATACGGCTACCGATACGAGGCTGCCACTCGAGGACCTTTCTTTCCCATCGGTTATCGATTCTTCGAGCTATATGGCCGGCCCATTGCCACTTCAGCTTACTAATCCGTTGGGCTACGTCGGTCACTCTGAATACAACATATATTATGTACATATATATTTTTAATAGTGTGTATATGTCACGTTCATTAGATTTTGTCATTTGTTACTGTATGTGTGTATCTTTTATGCATGTATGTATTTTTATTGTAGCTATAGCCGGGTTGACTGGGAGAGAATGCCTAATGGCATTAAGTCCGCCCTTTGTAATCTTTTTATGGTGTAATAAAGTGTAAATAAATAAATAAATAGCTGCTCCTAAATAATATAAATAAATAAAGCTCGACTGTCGCTTATATATATATATATATATATATATATATATATATATATATATATATATAGAGGTACAGATAAGTAGCAGTCTCACTTACGGAGGTTCATCAGGGAAAAACGACTCTCTCTTACAGAGGTTTCTATTTCTCGCTAATAGAGGTTTTGGGAGCTTAAAATGACGAGTCCTGGCTATTTCTCTCACTTATAGAGTTTACTCACTTAGCTAGTTCTCACTTACCCAGTATTGCTCAAAGGTTCGTTTATTTAAATAGAATATATTATTAAAATTCTGACCAGTCGTGAAGACATCTTCTTTTTTTGACGCTATAAAGTGACTGTGCCAGCACGAACATATTATTGTGAATACGAGGAATTTTGATCCAAAAATATACAATTTGTTAATCATTTGAATACAGAGCCACCTATCGAAACTTAGCATAGTTATAGAAAATCGTCTCGACAAAGCAAATATATTGCGTGAGTATGACCTCCATCGTTCAGAAGTTACATAATCACAAATACTAATGATTATCACAAAATAATAATTAAACTTTTACTAAAAAGTACAAACCCACTTCAAAAAGTAACGACTTATCTCACTCTCACCTTAAATATATAATACATTACTTCGTCCTCTATTTCACTACCCCTAGGGTTGGATGTTTTTCTTTAAATTAATATGGGACTATCTCTAAAGTATAACCATATACATATATACAATAAAACAATGAAGTGGCGGTATATGAATGTCCCATATCGTCCCGTTGGTGTAAGAAGCGATAGAGGTAAACAAACCAGGACCGCACCGTCTTCCTGATAACAACTGGAAAATGAAAAAAATCTGCGGTTGGCAACTCGCCTGCCAAGCATGGCAACTATGGCATGTATCCAGTACCGTCTCTACCATAAGGGCATACGGGGCCCGTGCCCAGGGCCCCTATCGTCACGGGGGCCCCCGTGACGTAAGTCATCGGCCTTATTCGCTTACGCTACAAAATATTTTTTCTATTTTAGGTAAATATAACCTGACAAAAAATATGTTAGTGACTTTCTGGCAACCCTGAGTGACAAGCCACACATTGCCGAGTTAGGTAGAAAAAGTGGCATTGACATTTCCTAGGTAGAAAATATTATGTAGTTCCGCGTTTTGCCACCATCTAAACGTTTTTGTCGGTCTATACTGTCGCCTTATATTTTTTTTAATTTTTTTTAAAAAGGTTAAATTTAGATTTTTTTTTTAATTTTCGGCAATCTATGTATTTATAATCTATTAGATAAAAATATAATTTCGTATTGTTTAATAAAAATAACACTTCCAAATATTTAACTACAAACGATTTATTTAATATGATAATTTTCAACCGCAAATATTAGCTTTTATAGGAAATAATAATTGTTACGATCCTTATTGTTAGACAAGTGAAGCTTAAATTTTAATGTAATAAATAAATAGAATACTCATATTGATGTTGTTATGAAATATTTTATGTTTTGAAGGAAAGTTTAGGAAAGAAACATTAAAGTTTACATTTTCCTAAGAAATTATCGTCCCCGCCATGAAGATTAGAACCTTCATGGTCCCCGCTATGAAATCTGTCCAATATTTTTTCTCTGTCTACGTTTACCTCATTGTAAATTGGCGCCGCCCTGGTGGCAAAAAATGGATGCTCTCATTAATGACAAATTATTTAATTTTTACCAATTAACTATAAAAATATTATATCATAGCAGAAAATGTTTTTGTCATTCACTTTTTTTTACTTTCCAACAGGTCCCCGAATTCTAGTGTGCCCAAGGGCCCCGGTATGGCCTAAGACGGCGTTGCAAGTATCCTTCTTACGAGGGAGGCCTATTGTAATAGTTAATTACTGGACTAATCTAGTAAAATGAATATAATTGTAAACTATTTGAGAAAATTATTTATGACACACTCTCCCAAATAGCTCGACCAATTATAATTCCTGAACAACATGGTTTTATAGGTCGAAAGTCTACAGAAAGTAATCTTTGCGAGTTTCTTGATCACCTCTATATTGCAATGGATAGTGGACTGCAGGTAGATGCAGTGTACACCGATTTAACAAAAGCATTTGACAAAATTTCACATAGTATTCTGATACGCAAATTAGATCAAATTTGTGTACATGGTGATTTACTTCGATGGATATCTTCTTATCTTAGAAATCGTAGTCAGGCAGTTGCAATAAAAGGACACTGTTCATCTTTTCTCCCAGTTTGTTCAGGTGTTCCTCAGGGTTCGCATCTTGGTCCACTACTGTTTATAATATTTATAAATGATGTAATATCCTGCTTCCATAACTCCAAAATTCTCCTTTTTGCAGATGATATAAAAATTTTCAGATCTATTAAATCTATAGAAGACTGCAATCTACTTCAAGAGGATCTGTGTAGGCTTAGCTCATATTGCCAAGCAAATCATATTTACTTGAACATCAAGAAATGTAAGATTATCTCATTTACTAGGAAAAAGAATCCAATCCTCTTTAACTATAAGCCGACGTACACAAAAAAGTAAAAAACGTGATCTTGGTGTTCAGTTGGATAGTAAGTTGTTACTGAGATCACATATTAATATAATAACTCAAAGAGCTTATAAAATCCTAGG